ATATATATATATATATAAACGTATATTTATATATATATATACATATATATAAACAAACGTTTCTAGCAAAAAAAGTTTATTTAAAAACTTTATAAGTAAACTGGAAGTATTTCAGAAATATAAGAGTCTGCCTTTGTAACTTAAATAGTGAGCTGATATTTCCTCTTCTCTTATGGTTAAATTTCAGGAACTTCCTACATAGAAAACTGTTCGACTACTTACTTTTTGCTCCAAGTATCAAAGGTCTGCACAGGTTTTGTACTGTAGAAAACGGTGTGTGTAATCTGAACAAAGCAAAGTGTCCTGCAGACTTTCACCTTCGCCACCGTTCAATTGACTGCACAGTTTTCTGTGACTTCCTGCAGAGCTCCAGAGGAACGGGGAAAGTACACAGCTTTGGCAAGAGGGATCATGCTATTAAAAGAAACCTCAACGTCCCAGTGGTTGTAAGAGGTTGGCTCTACAAACAGGTGAGCTCATGCACCTGTTGTGTCACGCAGAAGAAGTGGTTAAACTGTTAACACATTTTAAATGCATCATGCTGTGGGATATCTTTCACCTCAGCTAATGTCCCACGAAAACTGATTGACTTTAACAGCTAGTGTTGAAGAAAACAAAGAATCTGCTTTGTGCCCAAAGAGCAATGACATCCAGTTATTGTTCTAACATCGCGCACCCCCGTCCCCCCACTCGAGCTAATGAGCATGCAATTCCCAAGCTACGCTTTTTAAATGGAAACCAGAATTAAAATGCGCTCCTGTGAGGACCATTTCTAAATACACTTTGTGCCACTTTCCCCCCTTCACCTCCAGGACAGCTCTGGAATGCGACTGTGGAAACGGAAGTGGTTTGTTTTGTCAGACTACTGCTTGTTTTACTACAAAGGTGAGTCTACAAAAAGTGCACTTGGTCAGAGTTGACCCCGTAGCTGCAAAGTAAAGCACGCTGACCTCTGCTGACCTCTGCTGACCTCTGCTGACCTCTGCTGACCTCTCGTCATTTCCAGTAACGACTGTTATTAGATGTGTGACATCTTTTATTCTCCCAGACTCACTTCCTCTGATCTTTCCTGTTATGAACTTGAGCTTTATATTGAAGGACTCAATCCTTGTTTGTGTTGCTATGGGATCTACCTCCTCCTCTGTTAATCATCTTGAACAATAGATAAACCACATGGCCCATCGGGTCACATGCTGCCATATGGCTTTGAAGAGACAAGAGTCACCCGTGACTTATGCCTCAATCATTTTCCTGCTGTTAGTAAATCTGCACTCGCTCGTAAACATCAGAACTCAACTGAGTTAGGTGTTTTCAACACCTGTAACTGTGTGTGTGTGTGTGTGTGTGTGTGTGTGTTCTTGTTTCACAGACAGCCGGGAAGAAACGGTGCTCGGCAGCATCCCTTTGCCGAGTTATGTCATCGCACCAGTTGAGCCTGAAGACCACATAAACCGCAAATATGCTTTCAAGGTAACACAAAGGAGGAACTGAAAGAGATTTATTAAAAATGTTATTATGTGCATGTGCAGCTTTTGTTTTTTTATGCTATATTAATTTGGCATTCATAATTCTTTGAATAGCTGGTTGCATCTCCCTGATGATCTTTTACAAGATGCACCTGATCGACATATTACAGCTTTGATTGATCATTTCATTTGTTCTAATTTCTTTCTGTTGAAAGAATCAGACGACATGATTCACTATTTGTGGGATTAAATGACCGTATTTTCAGAAATGAGTAAAAAATGGTTTTAACGAAGGAAAAATGTAAGATGTGGTCGTAGCGTTTTACTTCGTGAAAGACGAGTTTTTATAACTTATGATTGAACATTTTCAAATCAAACCCTGTTATAAACAACTTATTTTGACATTTTCATAAACATTTTACATTTGTAGTTGTATTTTACGTGTTTCCTTAATGACACAAGATCTGTTCGTGTTTTCTTGTTTTGCACTTTGGTCAACTTTTCTTGTTCTTACGTGATATATTATAAAGAAGTTGACGGGAGGAAGTGGTGAAGACGTTAACGAAGTGAACTCGTGAACGCAGGGTCACCGGTTCAATTCCTGCTCTGCGGTTGTGTCAGGAAGGGCATAAAAAAATCACGTAATCCTTGTGCAAGGTCACTCTCTGCAGTGATCCCTAAAGAAGGAAAGGAGATTTTTAAAAATAATTTGCAAACTGTGTAAGCTATCATCTCTTACCAAACATTGATTGTTAATTAACTTTATCACCAACAAACTGTTTTTTTTCCACTATGGGAGTGTGCTGCTTGTGGGATTCAGTTTGTTTGGCGGCTCCTCAGATTGATGAAGTCCTTTGGATGAAGAACGAAACGTCTCGGAACAAAAAAAAAGCAATCGTCCACATGAGCTGACGGAACATTGTTGGATTATTACCTGGATTATTGAGCATGAACTTTGATGAATGACCTTCAGCTGTGATTCACGTAACTCCAAACTATTTTAATTATAATGTTACATTTTTACAATCTCATTATTAAGTTCAGCACGTTACCCTGCTGTAACATGGCTGTTGATTGAATGTCATCATTAAAAGACTCGTAGTCTTATAATCGTGAACTTCTGTAGAGCTTCTCGGTCTTGAACGTTGTTCTTTGTTCAGATGTTGAGCTGCTGTGTTCGTGATCGTCATGCTGCATGTTAGCCCAGCTTCAGCCACAGATGGCCTCATATTTGAATTCAGCGTACCTTCTGTACATAGAAGAGTTGCTGGTTGGCAGCGCAGTGGACAGTTGGTTTTACGTGTTTGTGCTGGTTTGCTGTGTGTGGTTTCACCAAACGTGAGGCTCTGCGTGACGAGCAGCTCCACTGTTCTCCTCCTCTCTCAAAGGACCTTGTTCCAGAAGTCTGGTGATCTGTCCAAATCAAAACCCTAAGCAAGGTTGCCACGCTCATTTCAGAGACTTTCTTTGCCACAATGTGATGCAGATGTTGGTAAATGGATACAAATAGTGTAATATGCCATTTGTGTTGTTCAAGTCAAGTTGCTCTGACCTTAATTTAATGACTTATAAGGACTCATAAATGTTTTTATTTGTCATTATATATAAAACCTTACTTTTCACAGTGACACTATGTTACAACATATTTTTTAAATCTCTTTTACTAAAGACTATACTTCATTGTTTTTACGTTCATGCATCCAGTCAGTATTTTGTGGATTCCCTCAGAGGAGACGACGAGTGGCTCCAGCCCCGGCTGCTGCTGGCAACCTGAATGGTTAATGCACCACTGCAGCTCCACGGGTTCTGTTGCAGTTCTTACTGTTGTACTTTGTTGTGGAAACGTGTGAGCGTGCACGCCGTGTGAATATGAGAACATGGGCATGGGTGCTACGTAGCTGCTGTATTTGATGGCAATACGGTGGAATTTGTACGATAATTGCTGCGCTCTGAAAACTAATCTTACTTTCAGCCTGTTCACGATTTAAGATTAGATTAGATTAAAGTCAGGGTTTTATTGAAGAGCTCTACCAACATTCTTCAGCTCTTTTTGAGCCATCATGCGTTAAAGTGTCAGTTTCATGCATCTGATGGATCTTAAATGTCAGTAATTGTTATAAGAGCCCGATTACATCCAGGTGGATAAGATGCTTTTCGTAAAGTATCGTAATAGTTCCAGTGCTGCTCTGTTACCCGCTCATGCTTGTGTTGCCAGAATACCACAGCTGGAGCCATTTTAGTCCTTTCTTTATGAGCCACCTCTGGTCAGCTGTGACTTCCTATTGTTTTCTGTTCTCTTGTTTTTGCTCATCTCGCTGTGTTTCTCTCATTCCCTGTTGGTCAATTGCCATCCATTGTGACCCGGTGTGTTTGCGTGGACGGAGTGAGTACCGGTCTCTGCGGGTGGCCGTCCTGAGTCACACAGGCTTCCTGTCTTGCATGAATAGGTATTTGATTTTACTTTGGACTCATCGGTAGAACTCCATCCTCATCTCATTTCAGCTCATAGTGGATCTTGAGTGTGCATTTTCAAATGTGCATCAAACAGACCTGACTGCAGTGAAGGCTCCCACATACTCGGGCGTACTGTGTACCCGGTGAGCCACGCGGACTCGACGTGCACTGTCCGCAGACGGTTGAGACTTCATACTCAAGCGTCCACCCTGATGGGCTGCAGCCAGCTCCGCAGGCAAGGGGCGTTTACCTTTGGGACAAATTGAGGTCGCGATTGGTCATTTGCCGACACGCCTACTGGATTGATTGACAGTTCGCAAAAAAAATATGAGAGCTACCGGCGGCCCCGGGTAGAGGCAGCTGGCAGAAAGCAGCAGCGGTGTTCTGTGTTTATATGTTGTTAATAAAAAGTTCTAAAAAATAAAAAATAAACAGGGAGCGCCGGCCCTGCAGCCCACACATCAGACCGTTCCACTGGGAAATCTCCAGACCCTCCTGCAGCCACGCTGGACCTGGTTTTAATTATCTCATGACAAATTCCTTCATTTCTCACAATTTCAGTTATGGCATTAACTGACGAGGAGGAAGAGATCGCGGCCTCTTGGCAAAATAAAACTAAAGAAAAGGTCGTTAAATCAGACCAGGGACGAAGAACGGGAATTTAATACATTGGTGTCGCATACGAACCAGTCGGTCGCCGGGCAGTTTATTGTGAGACACCGAGTACGCGTATACGGTGGTAAAAATTGATCTTTGCACGGACGTGGCTTGAGGGCGTCCGCTTCGTGTCCGCGCTGAGTCTGATCGGGTCCACGTGGACCTCTGCAGAGTGAAGTGCGCCAGAGTATGTGGGAGCCTTCGGAGTCTTCTGTGGACAATGCCAGAGCTGTTCTGATTTATAATTTATAGATGAATTGCCTCTAAATATTTAAGACGTTGTGTTTGTACAGCACCGTTGGGTTCATAAAAACACAACCGCTCGTTGTTTTGTAATTAAATGTGAGCAAATCAGACCCAGAACACTGAGCACGCCGCGCAGGGCATAACTCGTACCTTCGATGTAGAAGACTACAACACCCTCTGTTTTCTCCATTGACTCACTTCAAACTGAATATTTGTGCAGTGTGGAGAGGAACACACGCAGACGTCCAGATACCGTATGAAGCCATTTGTTTTCCACGATGCTTGTTTTCCCAGTTGCTCACTTTCATTGCTCACTGCGTTGCTTTAGGAAGCTCTGGCAATTGTCTTGTCAAGCTGCATATCACTTACTGGTTTTCATCATTACTGGTGCGTGGGCAGCACTGTCTTTTCTCCCCATTCCTTTCTACATTCATTGAATTTCATTGAATGTATGTGTCCGTCAGCAGTTTGTCCCTTGCTATACTTGCAGTAGTTTAGTATTGTTTGTCACCAACAGATGCATAAATGTCTTTTTATGATAATTAAATAGCTCTTTTTTGAGGAAGGGAGAGCTTGCAAAGCTTTAAACACAAAATATAAATTGTACAATGATTGCTGTCAGTTGGTAGTTTTGGAAAATGATGAATTATGAGTTAACGTTTTACTTCAAGCAAACTCAGGTAGAGTTCTGACGTGCCGTGGTGAGTGGACCAACAAACAGTGAAATTCAGTTTCCCTCATTTATTCATTGCAGTAAACGTGCTTTATGATTGGTTGTGCTTTGTTTTTGCTGGATGTATGATGAATGTGCAGTGCCTCTTTAAAATACATTAAATGCTTTTCTTCTTGCATTCCTCTTTACAGCTCATTGTAGTAAACCAACAGAAATCACGTCCTTTGTTTCAGAATAATTCAGTAGCACAAAGTATGATTGTAAATAACCAGGAGGAAACAAAGATAAGTTATACATTGTACTCAAAGTATGCACAGTTTACAATAACTAACTTTATTGAATTCATTTTTTGCACAAAACAATTTTTTTTGCAGAATATAAGATATGTTTATGTCCAAAGAATAGTTTCCATGAAACAGTGTCACTGTTCCTGTACATTAAAAACGTGCACATTAAAGCAATTATTCTACATTTGTGTCATCATAGAGACATTACAAAAGATAAACTGTTTCTGCAGAGCTGCTATATATGTGTGCACCCTGAAAGTTGTAAAAGGACCCCAGCTGCATATTAATTTACTATTTTTGTGCTATTTTCTGTTTGCTGAAAGGATTGCACCAGTTTTGTTGAAAATTAAAGACAAAAGCTGCACTGTGTGTTTTTCCTTCTCAGAAACAGCAAACCTACATATTGTTTCTGCTGCAGCTCTTTGCTCCCCATCTTGATTTAATAAAACACTTCTTTTTGCTGACAGCTCTCAGGGAAGTTTGTCACTTCTGATCTTCTCTTGAAACTTCAGTAAAAACACAAAAGTGGTCTGGTATCTCTCCTCTTACCTCTTCATATCGCCCTCTTTTGACAGGCGAGCCATACTGGAATGCGCTCCTACATTTACAATAAGAACTCTGTGATTGGCTCACAGGCAGAACACTGCGGGATGCGGACATATTTCTTCAGTGCGGACACACAGGAGGACATGAATGGCTGGATCCGGGCCATGAACCAGGCTGCGCTAATGCAGCAGAGCCACACTATAAAGAGGTTGGTCTCAGACGTTTCCTGTTCCAGTCCTTTTAGACGGAAAATCTTTTAATATGATAACATACACGGCTCAATACATATTACATTATATAAGAATTACAACATGAAATTAAAAAAACAAACATCAAAGTTAAGTTTTAGTTGTTGGCTGAACAGCAAACAGCTTTAAAAACTGCTTATCCAAAACAAGAGAGCAGCTGTTGGTTCGGATTTATTTCTTTATGTTAATTAATTTTTTTAACCATTAGAGGTTTAGCTCTTTAAACTAGGTCTGGGAGACTGAAATGTGTTTTGCAAAATGTGTTTTCTGTCTTGCATTTTGATTTGCTGCGTTGTAAATGCGGTTCAATGAATCCACTTGTCATTTGAGATGAAGTTCGTTGTTACAAGTTTTAAAGCCAAATTCTTGTGCAGTTTTCTTTGGAACAGTTTTTTGCAGAGATGCATCAGAGCCATCGTGTTCATTGCAGCAGAGCTGCATCTGTTATAAATGCACCACAAACTGCATCCAGACCCATGAGAAGAGACAACTGCATGGTTTAATTTTTGTACAACACTCCCACCTAGTGGCCAATCTTGGTCAGTACTTTATATATTTTTTGTTTAAAAGAAATTAAACGTCTCTCTTGAAAACTACTGAAATGAAAGACATTATTATGTAAAATACTTTAAAAACATGAATGATCTCTGATGAGGCATTCACTGACTGTGTTGTCGAGCATGAAAACATAAACCTCAGTTAGCACAAATGTACCTGTATACTCACACATTTCGACAAGTCAGCTGCATAAATTAATTATTCACACGTCCAATCACAGATAGTGGCATACTGCTTCGAGGTATTTGAAGGAGACAAATTGTCTGTCATTGCAATTCTCTGGGGATTTACTCCTCATTAGGAGCTCTAGTCTTCTCTCCTGTTAGTGAAAAACAAAAATAGCTGTGAAATTAAATTTATTGGATCATTGTTTTGCTGTGCACTTGCTTGAAGATGTGATCATGTAATGAATATGACCAAACGTGGTTGTAACCGAACAAGTGGTTGGAGAGATGACCTCTCGGATCATTTAATGATCCGCTGTGTTCTTTATTCTCTGTTTCACGTCTCAGAAATAATGCTGCGTTCAATCATAATGAAATGTAGAGGTCAAAAGGTGGATGCTGGTTGGAAGATTAATTCAATGTCTCATCTTGTTAAAAAATATTTAGGCTGTGTGAAACAATACAAGACAATATTTTCCTTTTTTTAATGGAGTCACGTATTCACAGAGAGATGGAGACGCCGGAGACGGCTGCACAACAAGCAGTTCCACAGACGAACCACATCCACACGGCTCAGAATTCATCTAAGTCCAAACGTGCTCACAAGACGGACAGAGAAGGAGCTCAGGATGAAGGCGTCAGACTGGCTCATGGTGATGAGGGGAGGTACGGATTGGAGATTCACGGGAAGTCCATTCAGTCAACCCCGCAGGAGCGAACAGAGCGACTGTCTCCAGACTCGCTCAGCGGCGGCGCCCACAAAGACGGACAGCCGACTGTGATCCAGGTGGTTCTACCGCCGGAGCAAAACGGAAATGTTGTTTATCAGAGGGGTTTGGTTTCACGGAAGGACTCTGACAAACATGTTCAGAGGAAGAATACACTGGCTCAGGTGGAGCAGTGGGTCAAAGTTCATAAAGGGGACCCAGCTAAAAGGTCAGTCACTTTAAATCTGTCACTGTTGAACACCATGAACAACGATAGCTTAACCATGAGTTTGGCTCCATCTTGTGGATAATAAGAGAACTTTATTTTGATCCTTGTCAAAGTATGTGTTTAATTTTATTTATGTAAACAAAAGGAACTGATTGTTATTGTCTGTGTCTCAGTGCTCCCTCTGCTGATTACAACCTCCCTCGGCGAACTCCTCCTTTAAAGCCTAAATCCAGCACAACAGATGCTACCTATCACTCGTTGCCAAAGTCTCCTCGTCTCCTGTCAGGCAGCAGCTCTCCTCCTGCGTCTGGCAACCTGCCCAGTGACTATAAGTACGCCCACGACCGGCTGAGCCACTTCCGCATGTCCACAGATGAACGAATGGCCTCCAAGGAAGGAATGGTGTGGCAGCTGTACGAGTGGCAGCAGCGGCAGCAGTTCCGTCACGGCAGCCCCACCGCGCCTCTTTACACCGGCTCCAACTTCACGGACTCTTTCAGAGTTACTGTGGAAATGCCACGCTCCATCTCTGTCCCTCCATCACCGTGTGAAGTCCCCCCTTCATCCCCATCCCCCTTTAAACCCCTGTCCCCACGCAGGCCACACACGCCTTCAGACAGACGCACAGTCAGACCCCTGGATGAACTGGGACCTGGCGACAGCACGAGATCCAGCTCCCCTGGCAATATTTGTTCCCACATTTCTCAGGTAGGACACCTACAGCAGGTAGACTTGTGTTTCTGATAGTTTAGTTAGTCCAGAAGGTTTAAGAACCCAAATGTTCAGTGGTTAGCACTGTTGCCTCACAGCAAGAAGGTCCTGAGTTCAATCCCCAGTTGGACCTGTTGGGGTCTTTCTGTGTGGAGTTTGCATGTTCTTCTCGTGCATGCGTGGGTTTTCTCCGGTTTCCTCCCACAGACCAAAACCATGCGTGTTAGTCTGCCTTCAGGTCCAGGCCTCCTTTGCAAAAGAGATCTGTGATCTCAGTGGGATTTGCCTGGTTAAGTAAAGGTTAATAAATAATAATAAATAATAATTAAAAGTCAAACAGTCTTTTGTTCAAGAAAGCTAATTACATAAAAAGACAATTAAACTCCATTTTGAGGCTTCAAACTTAAATTTATTCACTTTAATGAGCTAATAAACATAAAAATCAGCATTTTGTAAAGTACCTCATGGTTTGTGTCCTGTTCTTTTGGTGTTTTTTATAAACTGAATGCAGTTGTATGTTGAAGTTTTTGTCCCCACAAGGCTGTTAGTGGCACTTTTTTGTTTTGCTAAATTCTCACCACTTGTGATCAATAACTTTATGAGTAATCAGGACGATAACAAGTAATAAATGTTCGCTTCAGTTCCATCTTCTATCATTTATCTCCTCGGTGTGTAAACTGGATGAAAACACCATCAAAGTGAGAAAAGAAGCACCAGTGGGGGGTTCTCATGGTGTTGAGACTTAGTAAGCACCAAGTGTGGAAACCTGCCCATCTAAAGTATAATGTGTTGCTTCATAAATGTGCTCAGTCATTTAGTCTGTAACACTATAATACAGACAAACACCCACCAATAGCCTGTCATTGGCACGAAGGGGTGATGGATCTCACGTTGCGAGTCAAAAACAATGTTTTCATTCTCACCAGCGATGTCAGCAAGTTGTGGGCTCACAAGGAGCCCATGGGAAGATCAGGCTGAGAAGCCTGAGAAGGTTCCAGCTCCTCAGCGTGCACAAGCGATTCACAGAGTCCACGCCCAGGCGCACTCGCAGGTGGTGCGAGCGTGTGTGAGTAAAGACTTGGCGCTCCGTCGTTCCTCAAACCAGCAAAGCGCTCAGACAGCACCGCCACCGCCGCAGGAGACGAAGCGAGAGGATGTCCCATTATCCCCACCCTGCGCTGTCTTCTCACCACACCCTCCACATGTGAACAGTTCTCCCTCCAAACCGTCACCACAGCTGCCAGCACACACAAGTTTCTCAACCAACCCGCTGGCCTTGTGCAAGTCAACAAAGTGTTGCAGATGCTCTGTTTTGCCCATCATTCACTCACATGTCAAGGCACTAATTACTACCACTGACTGGGACCATGCACAATTATAGGAAACCCTTTAAAGGAGGACGCATGTGTAACAAAGGCGGCCACAGTGCCTTTTCAAGTAGGCAACGTTTAAGGAAACTAATTTTAGTGTGAACTTTGCTTCGTGCAGCCAGCATCTCCGAGGACGATGGTGCTCTTGCTAGAGAGCACTTCAGTAACAGTGATGTGCATGCTGCTGGAATATCATTAAGAAGTACAGTATGTTTTATGAGCGGCTAATCCAATTTGCCCAGGGCTTCTCAGCACCCTATAAACATCTTTACTGTATCCCAAACATCAGCAGCGGTCTCTTTCTTCTGATCTTGAATTTAAATAAAAAACCTATTATACAGCAAAAAAAGTGGCATGGGAATCTCAAAGGGAACGGCTCACAGGGCTTCTCTTGCTGGTAGCAAACAAATGTTATTTTAAGAAAGCAGGTTTGGTATAATTTATGTGTAATTAATGAAATCTCTTGTTGTTTGTGTCCTTTTAAGGTTCTGGAGTGGGTCTGGTTTTTCTTGCTAATTCTGTGCGTTAAGCAAAAATGTCAAATCTTCCAAAGCCTCGCAGCGTCTGAAACTCAAGGCACACCTTGTTTCATGAAAGGCTGCGAGTGAGAAGTGGGGGAGCAGAAAATGGATGGATGAAAAAATAAATCTGCTGTGTAGTCTAATTTGTTTGCAAACTTGGAGGCACGGGTTTAACGATGGTTCAGTGTGGTCGAGTGAGCTTCCTCTCACTTTCAACTTTGTAAACTTGTTTCTTTGGATTCTAGAAGAGTTTGAATAATGACATGAGTTGTGCTGTCCCGCAGACTTCCCAAATGGAACGACGGTCCGTGCCAGCCATGGGCTACATCACGCACACTGTCAGCGCTCCCAGCTTGCACGGAAAAACGGTGAGACCTTCTGCAAACGTGACCTGTGGGGTTTTATTTTATTTTGAATAAATGTTCATTTGTAGGGAAACGAGTAAAAATAGGTAGCAGTTTAAAATCTGATCAATGTGACATCAAGAAAGTGATTTTTAATTTTCTAATGATCTCCTTAGTTCAACTTAAACAGGACATCAGCAGCGTACTGGCCTCTGTGCTACTTGGCCACTGTTTGACCTGGATGTTATCAAATCTTTTCTCTCGTCCCTCTGTACCGTCACTGGCCTGTGGGCCTCCCTACCTTAAACCTTGGCCACAGCCAGAGGAGCTGACTCTGCTCCTCATTCAACTTCGGAGGCACCAGGCCAAGATGGCTGGTGTGCATAGCCCCATCAGTGCGTTTGCTCACTTGCAGCAGCACCAGCACAGCAGCCTTCTGGGCCCCAGCTTGCAGGTCAGGGAACCTCATTCTTCCCTAATGCGGCATTCTGCATCCCCTGCCCGTGCATCGTGCTCCCCCTTCTCCCCAGCCATTCCTACACATCACCCCCGTCATGTCTACAGGCTCTGCAGCCTTGACTGCTTGGTTGTTTGTGTTCATTCAGCCATTTTGGCATGGATTGTGTGGGGCTTATTAACTTCAGGCTATGTGTCACCTTTCTTAACAAGCAAATGCTTTGGAGGCTTTTTGCAACTGTACTTTTAAAACAAAGTTCAATGTCATCAGTCATGTTTGAAGCATGCTGCTTGTCACATGCATTTGTATTAGAAACACTACTCTGCTTCATAGATGTAAAGTCTGTTGCTGCATAACCGCACGAAGCACATTTGCATAAGTATGCACTGATTATTCTGGAGTTATCATTCTGCAGCAGCCATCGGGCCACAGTCTGCTTTACGAGCTTGTGAGGAGAATCTTCCGCAGGACTGCAGCGAAGCCGCAGTGGTGCTCAGTAATGACAACTCCACCCAGGTTCTGACATCTAACCATTCTTTGGCTGTTCTCCATGCTCATGAGCAAATTTAAACAGCTTGACCACACGCCATGAACAGGACCCGTGTTGCTCGGTTGTTATTGAACCAGTTGATGAAAACATCACATGGTTACTTAATTAGAGTTCAGCTTTACTAATGTCACATAAAATACAGAGGGGACAGCACACTGTACTGAGACTGAGGTAATGAAGGTTTTGTTAACAAACCCTGAAGAGCAAATGAAGACCTTAGGGGTCACCTTTGATCTCCTGCAGCATCACTTCAAATGACTTATCTCTCCGCTGCTCATTTAAAGGCAGATGATACTTACATACAACTGAAGAAGGACCTGGAGTATCTAGATCTGAAGGTGGGCCCCAACGAAATAAACACCACTTCATCCTTTTCCTACTGTTCTATAATCTGCTGCTGCCTCTCTTCTCTTGTCTTGTCCTCTGTTCACCCTGTGCTTTCTGCTCTTTTATTGTGCATTAACTCGTCTTTTAACAGGCCTCTTATGTTGCAAATTGTTCATTTAAGGACAGAAAATCTGCTTTTGCATCACTAAATAAACACATTAAGCATATATTCCAGTGGAAACTGTGTCTGGATGTCCAAAGTTTAGTCTGTTATTGAATTAATTGACTGGATTTCTCTGATGCACACTTGTGGAGTAAAGCAGCACAGGATGATGATTCTTTATTTTCACATGGCGCTTTAATAACATGTGACTTCTGATTCCTGTGTGTTCTACAAACAATATAAATTCACATGAGCTTAGTGTGTGATTATTGGCCCTCACATTCGTTCATACCTTTGTAGAGCAGTATGAATGTATTTGTGCAAACTCTTCCAGCTTGTAGCTGAATGTGCATTTAAAGTAAACTAGTTAATTCTCCTGTTTTTAAATGCAACGTGATGCATCCCTGGAAAATATGTTCTCACTTTCCCATCTCTAACTGTGAGGAACCCCAACACAGTTAGATTTGAGATGACGTCCAGGAAGTAAAGCGCTTCCTTGCATGAAGAAGAAGAAGAAACATTTTTGGTTGTAGAGTGTTGAAAGTCTGTCTGAAATCACCACTTGGTTTATTTTTGCCTGTTAGAGAAAACGAGGTGCCTTAATTACCCAGTGCTGCTCTTTGAGAAACATACTGGTGATTTGTTTCTGCTGGGGTTAACTTCTGGGAACTGGGACATTCAGAAAATTACATGGACACAGTTAGTCAGCAGTGGTGGAAGTAATTGGTTTTCTAACTTGTACACAGGTAGGACGTCCTTTCACACCCAAACATCCAAGTTCTGTGGTACATGACGCACGGCGAACTTATGTGATGACCTTTGACCCTTATAATTAAACATCTAGTGCATACGTCCTACCATACCTAATGCCTCCAGTATGTAAATTAGATTTTCTTTAAATATTTTGTGCAAACTCAAAAAGAAAAAATAAAGAAAACATGTTTTGCTGATCAACTAATTTTTTCTCAAACCAGAGTCCTGCCTCCAGAACTCAGACTAAGTTATAAATCTGTTTTTACAGGATGTAAAGTCTTTGATTTGACTTGTTTTTTAATTTTAACATGCAAATAAGTGGAACGCCCCTTTAACTGCGTCTTCTGTTTGTGCTGTTTTACATTGTGGTGCTGGGGGGGCGATCCGAGGGGGGTGTTTTATGAAAACACGATTAATTTCAAGCTTTAGCATGAGCGACAACTTTCTGACGAATCTCAGTTCAATAAAGCAAAAGTGTTAAAAGCAGAAGAAGCCGAGGGCTGATCGATTCTATAAGTTTACATTAAAGATGCTAAATAAAACCAATGTTCATTAATATTTTACTAAACATTTTTAAAAGTACCTTGAAAATAAAAGAGGGAAGACTTTTACATTTTATTTAATGAGGTGGTTTAAAGGACATCAGATTATGTAGATCAGGGGTTCTCAAGCTGTGGCTTCAGGGAGCCCCTCAGAACCCTCAAGTTTATTAAAATATTTTCTTCAGTTTGTCTCTTTAATGAGTGGAAATATTTGTGTAACGTAAATACTTAAGACCTGTTCTTTAATAGTGCTAATACCATTTTTATACTTTTAAACATGGGTATTTTTCATTCAAGTCACGTTTAATTAGCCAAAATTTTAATTTCAACTTGCTTAAATTACAGCTTTGAGAAAATGAACAGCATCAAAAACCACTTTAAAACTTTACCAATCCACAAAACGAACATCAGTGTATCGCCACTTCTTCAGATCATTACAGAAAACTCTTCCCGTCAAACTGAACAGAATCAGAACCACAGGAGTCCGACCAGGAACGGAGCTTCGTTTGTGAACACATCCATGCTGGAACACAAATAGCGGGTGAGCCGGTGGGGGTGGGGGGTGGGGGTAGATGTGATTTCCTGGATTTTTTTGTATTTTAACAGGTTGTTAAACGTCTACGTGCTTGTAAAAAAACAAACAAACAAACAAACAAAAAACCACCGGCTCATGGACCCCCGGGGGTCCAAGGACCCCAGTTTGAGAATCACTGATCTAAATGGTTTGAAAATATACAAAGTAGTTATTTGTAGTTTGAATAAAAGTACCTGTGTACAAGTACTTACAGAGGTGAAGGGTAAACAAATCAAAGAGCACCAAAGTCCATGCTCAATAATCCAGATATAAAATCCAGCAATGTTCAGTCAGGTCACCTGAACTGGACCTGGACCAGGTGACCTGACTGAACATTGTTGGAAACCAGCAAACACCCAACCCATGATTAGGACATGTTTTCATGTTCATCATGTTCTGCACTGATTATGAAATGTAGAACATGAATAACTAATTAGAATAAAATAAAACACACTCATCTCAAAACAGAACATTTAGCAAAAGACCAGTTATATCAGGGGGAGAGCTCGACCCCACCACCAAGTGCCCAGTTTGAAGCATCAGACGTGAACTGACAGATGTTTCTTGCTTTAGAGTCAGAGTTTGATGTCAAATAAGAAAGAATCATGACTTTGTGAGGAATTAAGAAACAGTAAATATAACACGATTCAACAAGGAGCAAACGTCTGTAACAAAAATAACGAACAATAGATTGAACAGTTTACCACATGCAAAATGTAAAATGCAGTCAGACCAAGTCGTCTCCGTTATCTCTCTCTCTCTGCGGTGCTCATGAATGTTGAAGATTTACCAGCAGATAAAAACTTTTAGTCAAAAACATAAAGTGCACAGTAGATGTGTGGCACAAGATTCTCAAAAACATCAACCGCAGATCTTCTTAGTTTGAAACGAATGCAATAAGATCTGATCATTTATGCAACCAGGAAGGAGCAGCTCTGAGGTTTTAGGGTTTCCTGTAAGAAAACATACATACATGCTCTTTTAATAATCTTTTAATAATAATAAAAAAGACATGGCATAAGGTGGTGTTTCAGTTAGCGTGACCTGCGCAGCAGCTTCTGTGTGTTTTGAACGTTTTCATTTTACGAGCGATGGTTATGCATTTCAGGTTACCGGACGTGAGAGCTTGAGAACAGAACGACGTTTGAGGCCTGTGAAAATTGCAGAAAGTGATGCTGATGTAAGTGAACAACAGTGTTCTCAGAATTTGTCATAAAAACACGCCGTTTACCCATCGCTCTCCTTTAACATCTCCAGTTCCACTTCTGATGAGAGGGAGACTTTAGTCTGACTTTACTATGTTTTTTGTGTGGTTTTTCAGTGTGTGTGTGTGTGTGTGTGTGTTGTTAAGTTGTGGTAAACAGAGGCGGCAGAGGGAAGGGAACGTATGCACATTGCAACACTGTGGGGACACCCATCCAGGCTGCACAGTGCGGCCTGAGCGTATCGACCACAGCTTTCATTTTACTCCCTACAATTTAAAGGGAAAAATACATGTAATGGGAGTTTTAGATGTTGAGCTGTTTAATTTTTCAGTTTGATTTGCTTCATCTTGCTCTTCTCTCTCTTTGTTTTGGGCTGAATGGAGGTAAATAAGATGGATGTCCTGGCTTTTCATCATTAGCATTGTTCCACTTTAACAATTTATAGCAAATTGCCAGTAAATTTGTCTGAGCGATGAATATTTCATGCAATTAAAAAACAACAATATGTGGCAGCAAAAATAAAAAACAGCTCAATTATTAATTGAACAGTATGATAAATAGATCTGGGGGGGGGGGGGGGGGTGCGTTCAGAGTGTGAGCTGCAGTCTTCTGTTGCTTTCATAAACACATAACCCATTTCTGGGAAAACAAAGTGTCACTCGGAGTAAACAGTTCTGTGAAAATATGGATTTTTGATTATGATTGCTCATAATGGTCGTTACCAAATCTTACCCCCAAACAAGACGGCATCAAACCTTTTGATATTTTTCACTGCGCTGATGAGACAGATTCCTCGGGGCTTTTCTCAAAGATAAACGTATTGACAGAGAGTGAAGTCTCGAGTCAGCGATCGATTCGTTTCACGCAGATGCTTTGTAGTGAAATTGTGAATGAACAGAAGAACGGAACCGTTGGCCTCGTGGAAACACAAGTTGCATTTATTCTCCTAATCTCTGCTTGATCTCTTCCTGTTTGCAGTTTGAAGTATTAACCAGAGCGCACGCCGAGATCCTTTACGGTCTTTTAACATTTTAACAGCCTGTTTTTTTTCTTTTAGGTCAAATTAAGTCGACTTTGTGAGCAAGACAAGATTCTACAAGAACTAGAAGCCAGGATACGTGCTTTGAAGGAGGACAAGGTTTTTATGATATATTTTACACAACGAGACACTGACTTTTGTCTTTTCACTATGTTTAAGCTATAATCATCAAAACGACAAGAAATGAAGGCTTGAAATATTTCACTCTGTGGAATGAATCCAAGTAATAAATGAGTTTCACTTTCAGAAATGACTGATAAATGACATGGATGTTTTTTTTTAGATGCACCTGTGTGTGTGTGTGTGTGTGTGTGTGTGTGTGTGTGTGTGTGTGTGTGTGTGTGTGTGTGTGTGTGTGCGCGAGGATGAGTGCCAGCGACTACCACAGCACATCTGTACAAGAGACTTACTGTAGTCCCTCGCTACATTGCGGTTCGTTTATCATGGACTCGCTCTATCACGGTTTTTCAAAATAAGATTGGACATGACACACAACTGGCAGATTGATGGAAGTTTTATTTAAAATAAATTATTTTAAATTACTTAGCACCTGCTGCACCTTTGTGCAGCCCACACTGCAGGAGAAGCTTCATGCTGCAGCTGATCAGCTGTTCTCGTGCAGAGCAGAGAAGTGGGCGTGGCTAAGAGCAGTGGAGGCAGGAGCTGAAATCATGACATTCTGTGTGTTTTAGAGGTTTAGAGTTTAGAAACATTGTTTAGAATATTGCAAGTGTGTGGGAAGGGTTTAAAATGCCTTTATATATATAAATATATATATATATATATATTCTTCTTTCGGCTGCTCCTTCTTCAGGAGTCGCCACAGCGAACTACGTCGCACGAAGACTTGGCAGTTATTTTTACGCCGGATGTCCTTCCTGACGCAACCACAGCCTCTGTGTGGAGCAGAGAGCTGCTATTTAGGACAAAAAACCCTTAAGCAGATGGGCCTTGCTCAAGGGCCCAGAGTGGGACGAATGAGGGAGGGGGCAGGTGTGGGTGCTTCACCTATCCCACCCACATCATGTCAGTACTGGGGCTTGAACCGGCGGTCTTCCGATCACAGGCCCACCTTCTTTAACCTCTGCGCCACCACTCCCCTATATGCAGATATAGTTTTTCACTTATCGTGGGGCTTCAGGATCCCCCGCGGTAAACGAGGGACTGCTGTATATCCAAGCTTGCGTTTGCTCAGGTGGATGAGCTGTGACATCTTGAATCAGATCGACTGCAGGAGTTAATCAGTTGTAGATGTGGTGCACACATGCACAGACACAAACATGCATGTGCACCCCCCCCCCCCTGCACACACACAGTAACGATCCCCTCCTTGCAGATGAGTATTTGTGTTTCCGTTGTTAAAAAAACTGAACTGAACCACTTTGACTCAACTGTATGAATTTTGTCTCTAAAGAAGCATTTCCACCATTTTATTTAAAGAACGGTTGTGTGCTTCTCTAAAGTTTTGTTCTTTTACAAATGATTCATAAAGTGTGATATGAATCACTGTTTCGTGATGGACAACCTCGAGTGCACGGTGAAAGGTTACATTAGTGTTGTAGATACTGTTTAAGGAAACCACAACTGCTGCCAGTGACACTTTCACCAAAACAAATAAGGAAGCGCTCGTTTGATAAGACGTTGTCAGTAACACTTACTGTTAATGCTTGTCAGCAGACGGCTCTTTTTGAAACGCTCTGAGTAAAACTATGTTCAGGGCTTTGTAAACCAGGATTCTGTGCTTTTCAGGACAAGTTGGAGTCTGTGCTGGATGTGTCCCACCAGCAGATGGAGGAGTACCGAGATCAGCCGACCCACGCTGAGAAAATTTCCTATCAGCAAAAACTGTTACAAGAGGACGTTGTCCGCATCCGGGCGGGGATATCTCAAGTCTCCACTGTAAGAGCCAACGCAGGGATAGAAAAGTTCAAAGTTCACGGACTGAACCTGCAGCCTGCCCTTCTTTTTACAAAGTGATTTTAGTCGTTTCCTCTTGCAGTGCATGTCAGTCTCTGTGTTTTTTAATGGAGCGGGTCGGTGCTCACTTCTGTTTTTTACTTGTTGCTTTCTGATCGTCTGCACCTGGCGCAGTGTTTCAGGTTGACTGTGGCCATCAGGATGAGTGACGGGGACAAACCTGGGCCTACCAAGAAACTCATGAGTGCATCTTGGTCAGAATGTTCTCTGGCATTTAAAATATTTAGTACTTGAATGGAAAATGACCATTTTTAAAGTTTGCAAATGATTTACAAATAAACCACAAGGGTTACTGACGGTAAACAAATGCATTTTTATCTTTCGTTGTCAGAAGAACATATTTACAACCACTGGTGCCAGTGAACATTTGGACTATTTAAAATGAACTTCAATGAAAAAATGAATTATTTCAGAATACTGGGCGGCTGTGGTTGAGTGGTTAGAGCAGTCGTCCTCCAATGGGAGAGCTGGGGGTTCGATTCCACCAGCAGTCACATGCTCAAGTGTCCCTGAGCAAGACACTGAACCCTCATTGGCTCTGATGTGTCCCATCAGTGTCTGAATGTGATAAAGCTCTGATTAGTCTTTGTCTAGTTAAAGTAGAGCTGTATGAGTGTGTGTGGAGCTAAATGAGGCACGGATTGCTGTAAAGAGCTTTGAGGATCTTGATCAGATAGAAAGGAGCAGTATAGGTACAGTCCATTTACATATTTCAAGTTAGATGTCAAATTTAATTGCGTATAGATTTGAACCTCAAAGCTGATTTATGTGAAAACTACCGTGTCGTAAAGAAAAGTCTTGTCTTGTGTTTTCATGTTGGGTTCTGTAGGAGATGGAGAATGCGTGGAATGAGTACAAGCAGCTGGAGAGAGATGTGGACTGGTTGAAGTCAGCCCTGCAGGGACAGATGAATCGCAGCGATCTTTCTCAGGTTGTGGCTCTGACATACACACAAGCTGTCGTTCTCTCTAACGCACAGACATGAGTCAGAACGAGCTGCACATACTGACTTCAGACGAGACGAGAATTGATTTTAAGTTGATCGTCTCAGTTTTTGTCTTCGGCCGAGCTTTGTGTTTGTGCTCGAGCAGTTTTACAGCATGTGTTCAGGTAAATGTTTCTGTTTTACGTGTGAACATCTGTAAGTGGTTCTGTGTCTCTGTGAGCAGCAGGAGAAGGTTCAGATCAGGAAAGAGCTGTGGAGGATCGAGGATGTCATTGCAGGCCTCAGCACCACCAAAGCCAATTACAAAGTAACAATTTCCTCTGTTACCAACCCAGGTGAGAGTCCACGTTTACAGAGAGTGACTGCAGACCACATGTTTGAAGGGTGTGGACTTGTGAGTGGTAAGAGAAGCAATGCCAGTTTGAAGAGATGGGAGTAAAGGGGGGAATCAAGCTAACAGCTACTCACAGCAGAGCTCAGAGCAGTTGGTTTTTCTCACAAGAAAGAATTTACCGTCTTTACAGCACGCGTGTTTTACGCTCATTCCAATCCCCAGAGAGAAAGTTCGTGCCTTCAGTGTCAGTATCGTCAGTGCCTTCTGTGTCTGGGGACCAGTCTACAGAGATGAGGCTGTCCCAGCAGCAGCATCACACCTCCCACATCACCTGCAGTCCCACTCTCTGCTCAAGTCCCACCCAGCAGCCATTACACCACTCTGCAACCGTCTTCAGTGGGTTGAAATGGGTGAGTGACCCCTGCCTCCCTCACAGACTTTATAGCGTGAGTGAACGCTCTTTATTCAGATTCATGCATCTTGGGATTGCTTGAAAATAAAGTTATGTTTATTCAATATTAGGTCAATTACTTGTTGAAGTAAACGAAACAGCTGCAGCGTGACAGATGTTTTTATCTGTGGTTTCTGGAGCAAATATAAAAGAACAAAACTTCTCGTTTGTGGTTTTCAAACATTTACACGCGTCTCACTGTTGCTGTGTGTTCAGAGTGACGATGATGTGCCTCCCAGACCTCCTCTACCTCAGATCTACAGTCCTGAAGAGCACCCCCCCGCTGTGCCGCCGCTGCCCCGGGAGTCAACAGTCATCAGACACACATCTGTGCGTGGCTTGAAACGGCAGTCAGACGAACGCAAACGCGATCGAGAGATCGGCCAGTACACAAACGGGGACAGTAAGGTATTCGAAGTGCGTGAGTGCGTTTTTGTGTTTACGCTGCAAACGTGTGAATTTGTTGCTTATCTGTTTGTGCGTCTCTCAGGTGGAGCTAAGACCTTTTCTGAGTGATCCTGAGCTCATGGGGGCTGGAGACGGATACGGTCACATCAGTGTAGTAACCTCCAGCCACGATGGCGGTTACCAGACATTACCTACTAGAGGTACGGGGTGTGTGTGTGTGTGTGTGTGTGTGTGTGTGTGTGTGTGTGTGTGTGTGTGTGTGGGGGGGGGGGGGCAACAAATAACATTTTTTATATAAGTGTTTCATGTGATGTCAAGCTGAGGACAGTTTTATTGTTGTTTGGTTCTCCTGAAGGAGTATCTGGCTCCTCCTCACTGCGGCTGAATCAGTCTTCAAGCATCTCCTCATACGTGACTCTCAGAAGATCAACGTCAGCGTTTGGTGTGAAGGTGAGCGAAGTTCATGTCTACATGGAAGCAAAGGTACATTCAAAAGTTAAGTTGATGAAGAAACTTATCTTGGGACTGCTCTACTGGTCTCGTCTAAAGCTGCTTCTAGGAAAACGATGTTTAAGTAATTAATGAATCTGTTTTATATCAGAAACTTGAATTTAATTATTGTGCTGTACATTTATGAGAATTTCCATCCATCCATCCATCCATCCATCCATCCATCCATCCATCCATCCATCCATCCATCCATCCATCCATC